AGTCTGCACAATTACCCGTGCTGAACTTAAGGGAGCGGCTGAAGGGCTCAATCTTGCCTGGTAGAAGGGGTACAGGAAGGTAGAACTGAACCTGGATTCCTCTACTGCAGTGGCTCTCATCAAAAACACGAAGGATACCAACCATACTTATGGCTTGTTAGTTAAGCATTCGGATAGCATTTTGGATAGAGAGTGGGATGTTAGGATCTCACATGTCTATAGAGAAAGCAATTGTGCAACCAATTTTTTGGCTAATAGGGGTCATTTGTTTCCTTTTGGCACATATCTATTCGATGAGTGCGACCCAAACCTTTGTATTGGCTGTCCTACTATACCATGGAGACAACCATGGATCGTGATATCTACAAAATACTATAACGCAATGTCAAAAAACAACATTTGCCACGTCAGCCTCTACTGAAATGGCCGCATAGTGCGGAGGGTCTTTTGTGTAAATCCTGAATCCATCTCTTCATCGCTCTCTCTCTTCCAATATCCTACCTACGAACCTCTCTCTCGCCGCACACTTCGGAGGATCTGCCCTGTCTCGCACTATTCTTCTCTTCTCTCTTTCTGTCTTTCAGCCCGGACAAATCAACGCTAATCTTGCAGTTCTTCTCCCCAAGCGCTGCCCTCGAAATCCTGTTTCAAACCTCACCGTCGAGCAAGCAAGTCATTGTTGTCACTCAATCCCCTTCTCACTCTGACCAACTGTCTACCAACACTCCCAGAAAGCTCATGGCGGCCCTTGCCCCCGCAGGTAACGCCATCCACGCCCGACCCTCAATACTGCTCCCAAAGTAATTTCATCTCTATCCCTTTCTAATCTGATTCGCAGGTTTCTAAGTTTGTTTCAAAGGGATTTACAGACCACCAAGAAATTGTGGGTCGGGGTTTGATGGGGAATAACAAGCGGGTTCCATAATTCCCACCGAGACTCATTCTCCCCTTCAAATTCTGGCAACTCTGATGTCAACTATGCCAAAGCTGCCTTAATTGTTTATTTTCGAAAAATTTCGCTACTCTCTTCCAATTGAGTCTTATACCAAATCCATTGATTATATAAATAACATATTGCAGTTTGTAGTTTGTGCTACTTGTGCTCCAAAGGTTACTATCAATATAGTCAAATTGAAGGCTAGAGTTCAGTGTAGATAATTCTAGAGTTTTAGATTGTACATAGTTTTGGATTTTTCACTACTCTAAAGACATAATTTGAAGTCGAAAATAGCATGGATTTTTGTGTTTATGACAGTAGCAGCTTAGTGCCTTTGTGTTTATCATGTCAGTAGCTTTAATTAGTCTTTGTTATTTACACCAACAGCTCGAGTTTGAGTCAGTTTAGGACTTTTTGTGGATTTTCGACTTTAAGGAGCAGGGAATTCTCCATACAACAAAACTCTGGCATATTTTCTGTTACATGACAGGTTCCATCGCATTATTCATCACCCTTAGATCCTATATAGCTTAGCTTTACACGCATACAAGAAAAGGTTTTTACTCTAAGTTTGGGTGATTACTTAGACAGTTACAACTTCCTGCAAGGGGTAAAATACCATCCTTTTGAACTGCAATTGTTGTCCTCCTCTTATTTCACTCCTTCTAGAACATAGATTGTATGTTATGCACCCTTTTAATCTCCATTTTTGCAGAATAGTGTTTGGAAGAAGTGCAACTTGATCCTCCTCTTCTTCTTATTGAGGAAATTGATCCTACCATTCTACTGCTCCACCCTCTTCTGCATAACCCTCCCAATGGAAATGTTGAACACATTCTAAACCTTCACCTTCTTAAGCATAATCCTCCCCACGTATTGTTCATACCAGAGGCCGAACTACCAACATGGGTTGTCTGCTACATCCTTGCCACCAAGTCATACCTCAACATCCTACCGAAATCATTCCCCTTCACAGTCCCATATTCCCCTATTGTATGACCCTGCAGACTCATTAATTAGTCCTTTTTTCTTAGTCTGTCATGACACTGTCACTAACCAAGCAAGGGAAATCAAAATGAAAGTTAAAAGTTTGAATAACACCACCTCAAACAGAAAATTCTCCAGCTCGAGCAAGCTTCTAAGACTGCTTGGTTCATTTATTAGGTATTATTATCTTTTGAAGATCTTTAGTTCCTCTTGTTAGTGATGGGAGATAAATTTTTATGCTATTTGTGGTCATTGATGATAACATAGATTGCAAGACTGTGAGGTTGCTTTGTCACCATTTCAAACAGGCTTAGCTAAGAGTGGCAACAAGACTGCTAAGCTTACTGGTGAGGCACAAACTTGCACCACTAAGCTCCAACAAGAGTTCAATGATAAATTGTCTGACGATTTGAACACATCACAGTTAGTAGCTGGGTGAAAGTTCAATGAAGCCTTAAAGTACATATCTGAAACCCCTAAAGGAAAGGTTCTTTGTTCCAACCATCTCTCTTTTTGTTATTTGTTTTCTTCATCATTCCATTAACGCAGCAGCTGCTCCTCCATTTGTAATTTGGTAGAAGCAAAAACATATGTCACCATTAGTTCACTTCATTGTTGCAGTAGCTATAAAAGTTGTGTCGGTACTGAGAATTCTTGGCTTGCTGTCAACTTGCAGTTATGATGAGGTTGGTTTGCAACATGAATCATTTCCTATTCATTCGACTGAAATTTAGAGACTTTGGATCTTCTAACCTGTTGAGATAAACCAACTTACATGGTATACAAGTTTCACAACAACATAGAAAGAGAGCATTGGTAAGGGCAGGACTAAAGGTAGTATATGTGGTATGGTTGATTGAGGAAAGAACCATTTCTGAGAAAAATAAGAAGTTTGGAATGAGTGATAAAATCAAGGCTGATTTGGCAGCAGAGGAATCACATTTGATGGATGACAGGAGGGAAACCGTTTGGAAGCTATGTGTTCCTATATTGCAAGGAAAATAACTTAGGTCCGTGAGTTGGGTTCGTGCTTCAGTGGATTCATGAATTCTGTTCAAATAGATTTACGGGTTTATTTGTTGTTTTAGATTGGTTAGTGAGTTGGTGGATCATTAAACAATCATAAAGAAGATGCCAATACAGCTCCAAGAGTTGCAGCAGTAGATTTGGAAGAGAAGGTAGGTGTGGATATTTTTATTCAACTTCTGAAAATTGTTAGTTTGAAATTTTATAGTTCTGAAGTGATTCTTTGCTTTGCTTATTGGAATTGGTAAGTCTTGGTGTTCCTGGTCTCGATTGAGCTTTCCCTAGCTTAATGATCATTGACCATACTCTCATATTCAATGTTTACTTCTGTATTCCTTCCCGATTTGTGTATTGTTTATTTCCTTACTGAATATATGGCATTTCTAGATTGCAGTTTTAGTTGCATTTTCTGTTGATTTAGCTTCTTAGTTGGGAGGGAAGATATGATATTAGGTGATGTGAATAGAGAGTTGAAGGGTTAGAAACATCAATAACTTTATTCATCTAACCTAATATCTATGTCTCAAATAAAGAGATATTCAATTTAGTTATCAATTTAGTTATCAATTTATAGCAACCACAATGTTGCAAACGGGGTGTTCTTATATATAGTGCAATATATTATCATAGTGTTAATAGCATTTTGTACCCCTTTATTATCGTAAATTAACAAACGTACCCCTCTACTAAATTTTCGCACAAACATACCCTTTTAATATTAAAACGTAACAAATTTACCCTTCCGTCAAATTATCCGTTAAGTGGCCGTTAAAGTGACTAAAAAGTTACCCAATTGCCCTCCTTTATTCCTAATTTAGTTTTAATTGTTTTATCTATAATTTATTTATGTAAAACCAACAACAATAGTTCTTCCACGACTCTTCTTCTTCTTACCTCCCCTGTAAAGTGCAAGCGGCACCTTCTTCTTCCCCTCCCGTCAGAATCTGCCCCCACTGCCTCCAAGAATGCCTCCTCACTTTGGTCTACTCGATTGCAGCGAAATCTCTTCCTGCTCCTACTGTGAAATTTTCCCCAATCGCGCCTCCCATTCCAGCAAGAGCAAGTCCAATCTGGAAGTCGACAGCGTCGGTCGCGTCTCCTTCCTGATCGAGAACGATGCTCAATCATATCCTTCCAACACTTTAATGCGTTCGAATTCCAACAAGTCGCCGCCACAGCGGGTTCGACGACGTCGAGAATAAGAAGAGGGATTATTCGATCCCGGGGGTTTTTTTCGCTCCGTGAAGGCAATTTCACCACCGCCGTCGACGACTCGGGATTCATCGACCTGAAATTCAACTTCCCCTATTCGGAATTGAAACTGTCGGCGGAGTGGTAGAGTACGGGATCACGAGATCCGAGTGCGGGATGGCGGGAGGAGATGCAAATGGCGGGTCGAACGGTTTCTTGTGACCGCCGGCAAAGATAAGCCGTGAACATCGCCACCGAGTCGATCGACGATGCCAGGGGAGAACAAGTAGAAGGAAGAATTTTTGTGACTGCGCGTGAATTGTTTAGGGTTTGTTCTTTTAATTAATTGTTTGGGACACAAATAAATAATATCTAAAATAATTAAAATTAAATTAGGAGTAAATGAGGGCAATTGGGTAATTTTCTAGCCACTTTAACGGCCACTTAACGAATAATTTGTCAGAAGGGTAAATTCTCATTTTAATATTAGAATGGCATGTTTGTGCAAAAATTTAGTAGATGAGTACGTTTGTTAATTTACGATAATAGAGGGGTACAAAATGCTATTAACCCATTATCATAATAGCAGCAGCTAACCATTACAATTTAATCCTATAAATAGATTCCATTGTATTCATCATGTAATTGGGACTTTTGACTTTGCTTGATGTATAATGTCGTTGATATTTATTGCATTCCATAATCAATAGAACAAAACAAAAATCATATACTGGGTCTAAAGAACACCGGCCAACGGGTCGGGCCCAATGCTAGTTCCTAGTATGAGTTAGGCGCCATTGGCGTCTGTTTTCTAAAAAGAAAAAAAAAACCAAAAAAGGAGTAAAATAAAATAAAATAAAATCAAACAGTGTTGGTCCTTGAGTCCGGTTGGTACTGAGAAGATCGAGGATTACTACCGGGCAGCAATACGCACCAAATCCTCACCACCAAAGCTTATCGTGCATATCGTCGTCAGAGAACTCTGGACAAAGATCCTCGATCGAGCGAACAGGCAAAGAACAGGGAGGGAAGAATACATTAGAGTAGGGGAAGGAGAATGGGAGATCTATACGTATGGCTAATCTCCTTCTTCCTCCTTATAGCCCTACTGGTCATCATCGTCTTCCAGGTCAATCCCCTCCTTAAACCCCTTGGCTTCTTCCTTTAAATTTATTGGATTGATTGTTGAACTTCTGCCCGCCATTTCGCTAACTCCTTGGCCTAAATTCTCAATTTCCCCCCATAGATGGGTCAATTTGTTCCTCTCTTCGCTAATCCACTTCAGCCCTCTTTTAGTTTATTCAATTGAAAGTGAACTCGTTGGTTAATTTTATAGCCCACACTTTTTAGTTTATTCAATTGAAAGTGAACTCGATGGTTAATTTCATAGCCCACACTAATGATTCTTCAGAGCTTGTGGGTTCCTTCCCGTATCGGGAAAGCTTTAATCTTTGTTTGACCCCAGTTCTTGTTGTTGGTAGTTAATGGCCTGCTCCTGTGAACACTTTTAGTCTATTGGGTTCATAGCTTGCTTGTAAGGTTTTGATCATGATGCAAAAAATTTGAACTTTGTATTATGCGTTGTGTATGGCAATGTCATGTGCGGTTTCCCTCTGATAAACACATTCAGTGAGGAGCTCGTTGTTAGAAAGTCGTTTAGTGCTATTTAAGATATTGGGAGGAGGTTGATATGTTTAGTTGTTGCTGAAAGATGAAAGCTTCTTGGTCCAATTACATGCAAGTACTTGGTTGGAGATTGGAATTTGCAGCTTATATTATTGGTGTGATATGAAATTCTGACATACTGTAAACTTGTTTTGGCAGCTTATGTGCTTGGCAGATTTGGAGTTCGATTACATCAATCCTTATGACTCTTCTTCAAGGATAAACAAAGCGATTATGCCCGAGTATATTACAGAGGCAGCTTTGTGCTTATTTTACCTAGTGACAGGGCATTGGTGTATGTCACTCATCTGTGCTCCTTACCTCTACTACAATGTCAGGCTGTAAGTTCACTTTTACTCTTCTATGTTAGCCAGTTTTGTAGGTTGTACTATCCCCTGCCCCTTGCATGATTTATTTATTTATTTGAGCATTCACTCATAGGATCATGTGCATGCACGGAGTGATTTGATTGAGAGTAGCTGCATTGAAGTTAACAGTTGATATCCAATCTAGAACAAGCCTGATAATTTCATTGTTGAATAGTAATCAGATCGCCAACCAGTTGTTTGCTTTGTGCCCCTTTGATATGCTAGCTAGAACAAATAAATCTTCAGCCTGAAACGTTTTCTCTTAAATTTGGGAATACACCAACAAGGCTTTGCGAACATGAATCTTGCTGGGGCCTCTAGTTTGCGATTATGAGAACCAATTTTAATGCTGGTACTTGCACTATGAAGCCATATTTCTTTCGAATGTCAGGCTCTTCGATTTTATAACTTTCCACTAACCTCCTAATAGATGTTACCTCTCCGATCTAGAAAATAAGTATTTTGGTGCTACAAAACTGGAATTGCTTTATGGTCTATGGTGCGTTTTCTTTTTCTACAAACTATTGGCTGCAAGGGTAAACATGTCTAATCTGTTATTAGGTGGATCGTCTATATCGTTCTTTTGCTCCTTTAGCCCTTCAAGCATCTCAATCCTTGTTGATTCAGCTGAATAATGAAATGGGGAGCCTAATAAGCTCATTTATAATTTGTGGTGGAGTACGGCAAGTTCTCATTCCACTATATGGTGTCTTTAGGAAAGGGAACTTTTAGGTTTTTACATCCAGCTTGCTGATTATAGTTCTGGCGCTGTTCATTTTGCGCTGCTTGTTTTCATTTGCGCGATGCCTAAGGATACGGTCTACTAGATAATTATACCGAGTAGTTGGATCATAGTCTCTTACCGTAAAAATGGCTGCATATGCAGCACCATCAACTATGAGAAATCCACCATGCAATCCTCCTGCAGAATGGCATCTTTTATCTTCCTGCAACCACTAATTCAGACCGGGTTTTTGCTTACTTGCATGTGTTTCCTGTGATTGATTAGTTACACAAGACAAAAGCATCTGATCGATGTTACTGAGATCTTCAACCAGCTCCACGCGGAAAAGAAGCAGCGGCTTTATAAATTATTTTATCTTATTGTTCTCCTTTTCCTAGCAATATTCTGGTAAGTCGATGTTGCTCGACTCTTTACTTTCAGATACCATTACTTGTTGAAAACTCAATTTGAGATTGACTCCGCTCTGACTTTCCTGCAAACTGTAGGATGATCTTGACTGCATTGGAAGATCACGACATGGATTAAGTTGCATAGCTGCGCTCCTCGATCGTAATGTTCAGTGGAGGTACACGGTACATAAATCTGCCGCCTTGAATTGAGCGGCGCTAGAAGAAACATGGGGTTTGTGTAACTGATGATACAATGTGGAAATTCCAGGACGAAGAACTTATTTCATCTTCGTTGTTTTAGCAATTATAGATTTCTTTGTAGACATCATACAACTATTGACTTTCGTCTTTTGATTAGATGTATTTTTTTTTTTCTCTTTGATGTATGTTCTTTTCCTTCCTCGCCCTCCATTTACAATTTCACTTGGTTTTATGTTTTATGCTCTTTTTCACAGAGCTCCATGTCTTGCCTAGAAACGGTGAGTTATATTTATAAAGGCGTCTAGCTAAGGAAGTTGGTTGACATTCCGTGCTCGCCAAGGAATTTGCCAGTTGGCCGACTACCTTTGCTATCCACTTATCCTCCTTATAAACGGTAAACTTTGCCCTATAAGACTAACTCCAACCCCAAAAGCTATATTTAGCCTCCCAAGCTCTCAAATGTGCATATTTGCCTCCCCAAAACACTTTTTTGCTCCAACCCTATAGGCTTCCAAATTTAGCATCACACATCTTTTTTTTATTTAATTTCCATAATCCATACTTATTTACAATATCATTCTTGTAATTCACTTTAATTTTTTTATAGTTTGTTATTACTTGTGAAAACAAAATTTTCGATGTAATTTTTTTTTAATTCCGAGATAATTTTTTTTTGTGCAAAATTAGTCATTTTTTTGTAGCCGTTACTTTATGACCGTTTTTTTGGACCTATCCAAATATGACCGTTTTTTTAGCCGTTACTTTATGACCGTTTTTTTGTAGTTTTGTGCATCATATGTGTTTATAAATCACAATTCTTCCTTTTTCATCAACTCACTGAAACTTCTTCCCATTTCTAAAACAAACACATTCATCATGAGTATGTTAGATAGCTCATCGTCGGGAGGAGAAGAAGAAATCGAAGAGTACGAGAGGTTTCACCACCTACGGTTGAGTTTAATCGGCCGGAGGCTGGCTGAAGGTTCATCAAGTCGACGTCAAACTACAAGTCGACGTCACATTGATCGTGAAAGGGTCGAATGTAATCGCCGTCTTATGAGGGATTACTTCGATCCAAATCCAGTATACAATGCTCGTATATTTAGAAGGCGCTATCGGATGCAACCAAGATTATTCCATCGCATTATGGGCGACATTGTGAGGTTTGACCCCTCATTTGCTCTACGGCGTGATAGCTTGGGTCAATTGTCATTATCTCCAGAGCAGAAGCTTACTGGTGCGATGCGCATGCTAGCATATGGTTCTCCAGCTGATCAACTTGACGAGTATGTTCGTATGGGTGAGAGCACTTTGATGGAGGTCTTCAGAAAGTTCTGCAACAACATTATCAACATGTATGGGGCCACATATCTTCGCGCACCTACTCCTGCCGATTTAAGGATCTTACTCAGTAAAGCCTCAAGACGTGGCTTTCCTGGAATGATTGGATCAATTGACTGTATGCATTGGGAATGGAGGAATTGTCCAAGCGGCTGGGCAGGACAATACACCGGCCATATGCATAGGCCAACAATCATTCTAGAGGCGGTGGCCTCCTACAACACATGGATATGGCATGCTTTCTTTGGGTCTCCTGGATCGAACAACGATATAAATGCACGACTACCCTTGCTTCCTACTTGCTACTAATTCCCCGCGGGCCGCAGCCGCAGCGTACTCCTTCCTTCTCATCGTTAGCGAGTTTAGCTTTGGCTATTGGCGTTGCCCAAGCGTAGTCGGCGATCAAACGGTTTTTTTTATCTCACCTTCTTCTCTTGTTTCAAACGCCAAAGGAAGGCGGCGGAGCACTGTACCGGTTAGTGTAGTAGCATATTGCTTCTGACTCTTGAGGTTGCTGTCGTTGCTCTGTTGAAGATGATGGGGAATGTCACTGAAAGAGTGTTCAATGACTGTTCTCTTTTTTGTTCTTTCTAATCTCGTTGTTTTGGCATTTTCACAGTGATGTGCTAATGGCACAATTCATCGTCAACATGAATGCTTTAGCGTCCCCCATCGAAGAAGTTAATCATTCATGTTTTGGACAACAAATATCTCTTTGTGCTACCCGATGCCGCTAATAAGATAAGAGAAGCCATCTCCGACTTCAGAAGCGATAACCATTTCCAAGTTTTCAAAAAACGAAATTGATTTCCAAGTTTAGAGATAGGAACTATTCTCAAATTCAGAGACGGAAATTCGTACAAGAAGCCTTCTTAAATTTCTTTCAACTTTGATGAACATGAAGGTTGAGTGGTTACTTATTTACACGTAGTAGAAACCCACTAGCCCAGAATCCTCATTATCTCCCCTTATTGAGCTTGCCCATAAAAACTAGGGTAAATACAATTTAATATCCAAACCTTTCATTTTAAATAATATAATAGCCAAACCTTTTCGAAAACAATCTAATATCCAAATCTTCAACTTTCCGTTCGTTTGACCGTTAGTTGACACTTCAAAAAAGCTTAGTTTAGGGGAAATTGTCACAATACAACCTTGTTTTCTTGTTTTGGCATTGCAGATGACTGAATATTTAGATATTTTATACCATCATGGTGGAGTCATAGACTTCTCAGGTTTGGAACTATGATATGTTGGTGGTTTTTCAGAGAAGATATCGATGGATATTGATGAAGTGTCGTACTTCGAACTTTTTTGAAGTGTCAACTAACGTTCAAACAAACAAAAAATTGACGATTTGGATATTAGATTGTTTTCGAAAAGATTTGGCTATTATATTGTTTAAAATAAAAAGTTTGGATATTAAATTGTATTTACCCTAAAAACTATTAGATACATTACTTGAGTTTGAGTGTAGAATGCTCTCCTTTTTCAGCAACTCCACTTCGGATTGACGGATGGACGACAAGAGATTCTGAGATGAGAAAATAAGATTTTGTTTAGTTTAGATATATACTAAAGAGACACCATTGATACGTTTTGTCGTCCAATATAAACTCCTAACATATAATAATATTTTGTTCCCAGTTGATATTTGAATTTTCAAATAAATCTTTGAAGGGTCAACATATATAATTGACCCGTCCCACTTCTATTTCCTTTTTGAGCCTACTGATCCTCTAGAGTCGAGGCGAGTCGGGGCGGATGAGGTCAGTGGGTCGGATCAAATTTACACAAGAATTTTTGGAAAATCACTTTTTGGTATCAAAAAATATTTTTTTCTTGTAATATAGTACCTAATCTTACAAATAGGTTCAGAAAATTTGGTGTATAATTACGTATTAGTACCTTTATATTTTTACCTTGCATTATAGAGTCTAACTTTTTAAAACTTTATATAAAATCTAGAAGGATTTTCATATCACTAGTTGTTTTGTGTGTCTTATGTATTTTGATTTGAATTATAAATCACGATCAGTCGGACCATACCCGTTTACGAGATCCAAGTTGTGACATGGCCACATGTAGGGGTGGAAATATATATGGTATTGGTATCCCAATACCAAATACCGAAATCCCGAATACCCAATTACACCCTAAAGTCAATCTCAATCACAATCCCTAAATAATTTTGGTATCCCGATCCCAATCCCTAAATATTTCGGTATCCCAATCGATATTATCGAATACGAAATTAATTACCTTTTGCAATTAATAATTAAATATATAAATTAGATTTTATTGTTTAATTTAGGGAAAAAGGACTAAGCAAAGAGTTTTGAATTAAGATATTATTAAGGAGAATGGAGGAGAGAAGACATCTCATGTTCTTGTCATTGGTAAACTTTAATTTGACGAACTGGACGTTGAGAGACAACTATTAATAGTGATGGAATGATCTGTGTATAATTAAATGGCACTCTTGGTGGTTGAGGGTCATGTAGTAGTGAATGAGAGAGTCTAGTGAAGAGGATAAAATACACACTAGCTTATATTTCGGTATTGATCGGTATATACTGATCTCAATCTCGTAATGCCTAATACCCAATAACAATTGAAATTCAATCCCAAAAAATAATACGTGTATTCGATAATACCAAATACAAACAAATTCGATACGATATTCGGTATATCCCAAATTCTAGGAAAAAATCCCAAAGTACACTAGTTGTTAAAAAAAATTCTCAAAATACATAAGTTATAAAAAAAATTCCAAAACTACACAAGTTTGAGCATCACCGTTTTTGACAAACGCAGTTAAAAAAATCACCGCGTTTGACAAAAACGGTGAAACATTCACCGTTATAAAGAGAAACGGTGACGTATTCACCGTTTTTGTTGAAAGCGGTGAATACTTCACCGCGTTGAACAAAAACGATTAAGTATTCACCGCATTAAACAGGAACGGTGAATACGTCACCGTTTCTATCAAAAGCGGTGAAATAGCGGGGAACATATTCACCGCCTCAGGCAAAGGCGGTGATTATTTCCCACGTTTCCCGAACCTGGTAGGTGAAAATTAGGTCACAACTACCTAATGTTCACCGTTTTACACAAAGGCGGTGATGTCGTTCACCGTGGGAGACAAAGGCGGTGAATTGTGGCCGATTTTCGTATAAAAACACATCTCACCTGCAGTTCTAAGAAAATAATCCCTCCCCCCTCTTCAAATTGCAGCAGCCAAAACCGAGCATCATACACAGAACAGAAATTTTCGGTATGATTTAATTTTCGTATTAATTGCTAATGTTTGTTTTTAGTAGTTATATTGTTATGTTATGAATTACTTATCGTAGCAAATATGGCCGATGTTATGAATTACTGGAATTATGCTAATAGTTACTTATTGTAAATTATAGATATGGGTAAATTCAAGAAGTTTCTGCTTATTATTCGGTGGAATGGAAGGGTTACAAACTCTGACATAGGGATTGATTATGAGGACGGTGTATCCACTAAGCTAAAAATTGAGTCGCGATTCAATTTTCAGGAACTCTGTGATATTTGTGCAGACAGGGTTTGTACGAGCGGACAGACGAGACTTGGTAAAATTACTTACCGGTATCCATGTATGAGTACTGGCAGGCTTCTGTACCAAGCAGTTATCATAAACGATGACGATGGAGTTACGATGATGTTACAGTTCCTAAGCGATAACGACATGCGGAAAGCGGAGGTGTATGTTGAGACCGAGGCGGTCGGTGAAACTCATTCTCACCAGTATTCTTATGATGATGGTTTTGCAGGAGGGTACCGATGGGGTGGTAGTTCGAGCAACTACGAAGGAGGTGGTTATACAGGAGGTTACGGAGAGGGTATTGGTTCAATAAACTACGGTGAAGGTAGTAGTGCAGGATGGGTGCCATCGGAACAATAATCGCAACAGGATCAACCTGCCGATGGCGTTCAATGGCCTGCTTGGGGCCTGAGTGGGCTGAAAT